CCACAATCATGTTTGCATTAGTGGCTCCCATTCCTGACAGCTTAGTAGGTAGGAGAAAGGATTCTTTGTTGCCTTTGTTCATCACTCTCCTTGGATGCCAGACAGCATGGGGAATGCTCCTGTGATCACCACTCTGCTCATTCTTTTTGAGATTAGGTAGGAAGATCAGAACTCTGATTAGACAAATGGATTACATGTCAGAGCCACCATGAGGTTCTAGAGCTGCAGGTAGGGTACCACTAGTACAGGAAGTTATAGAGAAATTATTTTTAAAAACATTAGAGATGGGACTCAGCCACAGTTTAATTACAGATTTGAACTTCCCTAACTTTTAGGGTGCTAGGACTTAGGGATTGGACCTCTGTCTGCTTTGCATCTGAGACCATTAGAAAGCAAGCGGACAGTGTTGATAGTAAAAATAAACACAGGTGTAGTGTCTCTGACCCCATTTAAAAGCTGAATGACAGCTCCTTAAACACACACACAATGTTGCAAACACTTTTCCAGTAGAACCAGAAAAAGTCCTCTTTCCCAAATGAGTGCAAGTTGAAAGATGTAGACAGAGAATATTATGACTGAATGTGAATAGGACTCAGTCAGTTACAAAAAGAGAGCTTCATTTCATAGTATCCCTCACTGCTGGTGGTGCTGCTTATACACATATGGAGAGTGAGTAGGTTGTCCTCGATACAGTTTAAATTTCAATCTTTAACTTGGAAGGGAAGATAAGCCTGGAGGATGCAACTGCAAGGTAGTCTGCATTCCCTATTGGTATTTTCTTCTTTGGTAGAATAAGTTTCATAGCATTAGTTTTTGAGGTTGGACTTTATGCTCAGGCCTTAAATAGGTGATAAATAAGGGAATTGGGGGTAAGAGCACATTAACAATCCAGGATCTTTTTCACATCCATAAGCTTTTTCATCACCGGGGATCTTCTGCATGTACAAAATATGCATAAATAATTTAATTCCACCTTAAGCAGCTATTATCTATCTACTCACATTTAGGATCGATAAGGTAGAGATACACAAGTAATTCCAGACAAAAAGAGCTCACCATTCTATTAGGAGTGTGCAATGTTCCTTCACTATATATAACCAGAATGCTTTACAAAGAGCACATCTACCAAGCCACAAAGAAAAACAACCAATGAAATTTGTGCCCATCTGCTGATGTGAAGGCAAACGTAATTCTTAATCGCTTTTTAAAAATCACTCCTCTTCCATAAAAGTTTTCAATGCAAAAAATAATAATAAAAAAAATGCAGAGATGTAGGTCATGAACCTGACTACAGTAGGAATGGCGGGTTCTGCATGGAGAACAGGGAGTGTTCAGCATCTTGCAGGCTCAAAACCCAAAGACTGCAAGCTCCTGGGAGCACAGAACCAGGTCTTTCTCCACATATTGTACAAAGCCAAGCACACAACCGGAGTACACAATGCTGTCAGTTCTTAGTTATACTAATGACACTTCATCAAGAAAAGATGAGTGGTACACGTCTCTTGATGGTATTGTATCATAATTGAATATTCGTCAGCGCTTGAATCTTTCAGCAGTCCCCCATTTATTGACCGAATATAGAATATATGTCTCTCTCTGAGACAGAGCCACCTGCTGGTACAATACGAGCACTAATACAGCAGTTTTCTCCAGCCAAGCATTTTTACAAATAACTAACTTTATGACACGCAGGTAAGTATTCACATCCCTATTTTACAAATGGAAGAAACTGAGGCACACCAAGGTTAAATGGCAAACCTAATGTGCCTAATGTCAAATATGGATTTAAGTGCCTAACTTTAGACAATAATCTTTGAAATTTTTGAAATAATCCAAGAGTAGGATTGGATTCCCTGGGTCCTAATTTTGTATTCAGAACTTTTTAAAGATTTTTTTTTAAATAGCAAAGATATTTTGCTTATGGAATACAGTTCCGTTCAGGAAATTTAAAATAAATTATTGAAACAAACATTTTTCTCATATCCATCATAGTTTATTTCATTATAATGCACATAAATACAGTTTCCATTGCATGCCCTTCATCAGCATGTGCACACCACATTGACTTACAAAACTGCTTTTCTACTTAATGAACAAGAAACAGGTTAGGTGATCCTCCTTGCCCCTGCAGAGGCTTTTAATGTCTGCCTCCTACCCTGTGCTGTCTTCATATGCAATCCCTAAGGATAAGACGTCACTGGGGTCACAGAAGTCACAGATTCCATGACTTCAAGAGATTTCCATGACATTTTTTGCCTCAGCTGCTGCGGGTGGTGGGGGGGCCCCAGAGCGCCCAGGTGCTGTGGGCATCGGGGGTGGGACCTGGAACTCCCAGCTACCAGCCCCGGAGCTCCGAGCCACTGTGGGTAGCGGGTGCTGTCCTCCCCCGTGGATTTCATCCCTCCCCACTTGGGCTTCAGTCATCCCCCATCAGCTCCCCACCCCATTTTTAGTAAAAGTCACAGACAGGTCATTGGCTTTTATGAATTTTTATTTATTGCCCATGACCTGTCCTTGACTTTTACTAAAATAACTGTCAAAGTCTTAACCTTAGCAATCCATATGGAACAGTATTTTTGTCACACTCTTGTGTGTTAAGGGGACAAGCTATCCTCACAAGGCACAAATAAAATGCAGATATTTAAAAAAAATCTCTTTAATAAATCCTCTATAGGAATGAGTTTTCCCACAAGCAAAAAGGTTTGCAAGTGCCACATATGGCTATAAATCATCTGTGCAAACCAACAACAAAATCCCAATCGATTATTCAAAAGAGATGAATGGCTGATCGACTCATTTACATTTTAAAAGAGAAAATCTTCATAGCAGTAGGCTGATTACACTGTATTTTGACTTGCAGGAATGTTAACATGGCAGAATTTTCAGATGTGTAGTAAATGCGGAATGAAGCACATTTTGTTATCCATAACCTAGCTCATAAAACCCAAATTTCACATTCCAACCTGCTTGTTTCCTTTTTAAAAAAAAGTTTATTTATATTTTAAAATATTTAAAAATTGTGAAAATATGGTATTGGTTTTAATTTTGCAAGGTGTTTTCCTAGAGTAGACTCCCTTGCCATTTTATGTATACAGTGCATGTAGCATTCTACTAACCAAAAAGGATTGTACATTTATATACTGTAGCTCTTTTAAAGCAAGAAAAATTTCAAAATGCTTTACAATCAAACAGATATTTTTAAAAAGTGTACAAATCACTTAATCTGAACAGCCCACACACCAACATTACTAAATCCACCAATATTCTCAGGAACAGCTATTTCCGACAGATACTGAAGTTTCTGGGAGGTGGGCAGAATGTAATCACTCAAAATGGAATTTTGGTTAGGCTCACAGGGTTAATGCTCCTACAGTTACAACCCCCCTTCTCCCCCCCCAAAATGGCCACAGGATCACTAATCACCACAGATGATCAGGACTTCCAGGTTGGCATCTCATCCAGAAGATGGCAAACACCAACAGTGTATTGCTCCCTACTCCATGGCTCAGCTCCCAGCATCAGAACAACCTTCAGTTCTGATCAAGGTGACAGCCACACCAATTCTACCAGTACCTTAGAGCTTATTGACTCCATTTTTGCACCTATTTAAGTAAATGAATAGATGAACTGAAAATCTCCCATTGTGGATGCAGTTATACTGCATAAAGGTGGTGTTTATCCTAAAGATATCTGTATATCAGCTTGAATTTTTTATTCAAAAATTCAGCAATTGCCCCGCACACACAGAATCTGTGAGCAGCAAGAGGTGAAGTTGATTGAATAAATAATTAGTTTAAAATGATTCACTCAACTCTGGTAAGCATTAATACCCCCCTTTTTGAGATGGAAGAATGGAGGCACAGAAGTTCAATGCTTTGCCCTTAGGGACAAAACAAGTTAATGGTAGAAATGGGAACAGAACAGGAGAGTGCAGATTCCTAGTCTTCTGCTTTACTAGTAGAGAACACTTCCCATGACTGTTCAATACTGTGATGAGGAGCCTAATAAAGGACAGATCCAAATAACAGCTGCTGTATTCTCATGTTGTAGGAAAGAGTAGCCTTAACTGAACATGTACATCCACAGTATTCCACTTACAGAACATGGCATCAAAAGCTTACACATATTGCCTGACCTTTTTTAAGGTTAATAATGTTTGACTTAATGGCCAATTGATCTGACTGTGATAAGGTTCTTCCTCCAGAATTAGGCTACACAGAACCCACACTGTGGAGTTCAATGTTTTGGGATGGATGACAAAGACTTACACAGAGGGCAAAGTAAAACCTTAGATATCTTTATTAAAATAATGGATAAAGCTAGAGGTGCAGTTCTCATCCCTGGCCTTCTAATAGCCGCTCTTGATCCACTTACGCTGGTCCCCAATGCTGCCAGTTTATCCACTATTTCTCAGTACACATGGTCATTTTTGGCATGCTTACTGAATTTGAACATCTTGCTTGCCTCATACCAGAGATTTATCAGAACCTGACTGTGGTCCCATGCCCAGGTAGCAGCGTGCTTGGCAAAGGACTTCTTGTTTGTGGCGATAGCTAATGCAGGAGATGGTTCATTCTGTTTGTAGCTCAGTGGTCAGAATAAAATGGAAGGGTTAAGCACCAAGCAGGTGTACTTGAATCACTGAGGTTGCTTCTGTTTCCTAGGAGTTGATTGGCTATTCTTGGGAAAGGAAAGGAACAGTGGCCCATGGGATAGCAATGGTGGCCTCTCAGGACATGAGTTTGGGGAGACTGACCCAAACTGCATTCATACGGCAAAATGAATGAGAGTCCAGTAGAACCTGGCTTGGACTCACCCCCAGGTCCTAGGGGCTGGGTTATGCCAACTTATTGGCCTGAGTCAGACAGATGTGTGTGTAGACGGAAGGGGGTTTGGCATGAGCCTGAATCTTTGAAGGAGTGTTGGGCAAGACCCAACTTCCAGCCTGTTTTCTTTTACCCTAGTGACATCTGCTTGGAGAGCAATACAGCAGTGCACAGACAATCCAGGAAGTTTTTGGAGAGTGTTGGGGACAACTTCCTAGTGCAAGTGCTGGAGGAACCAACAAGGGTCAGTGCTCCTCTTGACTTGCTGCTCACAAGCAGGGACAAATTGGTTGGGGAAGTAGAAGTGGGTGGCAACCTGGGCAGCAGTGACCATGAGATGGTAGAGTTCAGAATCCTGACAAAAGGAAGAAAGGAGAGCAGCAGAATACGGACCCTGGACTTCAGAAAAGCAGACTTTGATTCCCTAAGGGAACTGAGGGGCAGGATCCCCTGGGAGGCTAATATGAGGGAAAAGGAGTCCAGGAAAGCTGACTGTATTTTAAAGAAGCCTTACTGAGGGTGCAGGAACAAACCATCCCGATGTGCAGAAAGAATAGCAAATATGACAGGCGACCAGCTTGGCTTAACAGAGAAATCTTCGGTGAGCTTAAACACAAAGTTTACAAGAAGTGGAAACTTGGACATTTGACTAGGAAGGAGTATAAAAATGTTGCTCGAGCATGCAAGGTTGTAATCAGGAAGGCCAAAGTACAAAGTACAAAGCTAGCAAGGGATGTGAAGGGTAACAAGAAGGGTTTCTACAGATATGTTAGCAACAAGAAGGTGGCCAGGGAAAGTGTGGGACCCTTACTGAATGGGGGAGGCAACCTAGTGACAGATGATGTGGGAAAAGCTGAAGTTCTCAATGCCTTTTTTGCCTCTGTCTTCACAGACAAGACCGAGGCAGCACAATATGGGAAGGAGATGAGCAGCCCTCAGTGGTGAAAGAACAGGTTAAGTACTATTTAGAAAAGCTGGACATGTACAAGTCCATAGGGCCAGATGCAGTGCAGCTGAGGGTGCTGAGGGAGTTGGCTGATGTGATTGCAGAGCCATTGGCCATTACCTTTGAAAACTCATGGCAATCAGGGGAGTTCCCGGACAACTGGAAAAAGGCAAATAATAGAAACTATGTAGTGCCCATCTTTAAAAAAAAAAGAGAAGGAGAATCTGGGGAACTACAGCCTCACCTCAATCCCTGGAAAATCATGGAGCAAGTCCTCAAGGAACCCATTTTGAAGCACTTGGAGGAGAGGAAGGTGATCAGGAATGGTCAACATGGATTCACTAAGGGCAAGTCATGCCTGACCGACCTGATTGCCTTCTACAATGAGATAACTGGCTCTGTGGATATGGGGAAAGCGGTGGATATGATATACCTTGACTTTAGCTTTTGATACGGTCTCCCACAGTAGTCTTGCCAGCAAGTTAAAAAGGTATGGATTAGATGAATTGATTATAAGGTGGATAGAAAGCTGGCTAGATTGTCGGGCTCAATGGGTATTGATCAATGGCTCAGTGTCTAGTTGGCAGCCGGTATCAAGGGAAGTGCCCCAGAGGTTGGTCCTGGGGCCAGTTTTGATCAACTTCATTAATGATCTGGATGATGGGATGGATTGCACCCTCTGCAAGTGTGCAGATGTCACTAAGCTGGGGAGAGAGGTAGATACGTTGGAGGGTAGGGATAGGGTCCAGAGTGTCCTAGACAAATTGGAGGTTAAACAAGGACAAGTGCAGAGTCCTGCACTTAGGACGAAAGAATCCCATGCACCGCTACAGGCTGGGGACCGACT